GACCACTGGTGCGTCCCAGTGATAAACCGTTAAACAGATAACCGAATGCCAAGCAGTCGTACAATCTGGAACACGAAGGTGATGCATGGCAACAAGTCCAGAGTCAGGAGATTGCCGAGGAAAAAGAGCGCAAGAAGGACATGCAGCGCAAGCGCCGACGGGAAAAGACGATCCAGAACGAAGAGGCTAAGCGCGCCGAGGCACTGGCAAAGGCTGGCCAGGCTAACAACGAGGAAGAAAAGGAGCGACACCTCTTGGCTGCACAAAAGGCAGAGCGCAAGGCAAAGACGACCACCCAGCTTTTGCAGGGCAATGCCCCCAGCAAGGACATACGAGAAGTGACCCCGCATGGACCCAATCTCGAGGGTGGCACTATGAGCTCTTTCCAGGCTTCCGACGAGGTAGCAGCAGGAGGAGGCAAGCGCAAGGGCAACCGAGGAACTGGACGTCTCAAGAAGAGCAAAGAACAGAAACAAGCAGAAAAGGATGCCGCTGCTGCCGGTCAAGCGGCCATTGACCGCGGCGATGATCTTCCACTCATTGCGCCACGCGAAGAAGCACGTCTCGATTCGCTGCGAGGCCGTAGTCACACTGAAGACCCCGCCCCGGTCGTTCTGACAACCTATGACTCGACGGCCTATCGCAACCTCTACCAGCAGATTGTCAAGGATCTTGCGAGAAAGGATGTTCCCAAAGTCGTCCGTATCAAAGAGAACTCGTCTTCTACAAAACAATCGAATCTGCGAAAGACGGCACAGCTTGCTGCCAAAGAAGCTCGACGATGGCAGATGCGTACCAACAAGAACCAAAAGGACACCCAAGCTAGAGCCAAGCGCGGTATGCGTGAAATGCTCGCGTTTTGGAAGCGTAACGAACGTGACGAGCGCGAGTCACGCAAGAATGCGGAGCGGCAGGAACTGGAGAATGCAAAGAAGGCCGAGGCTGACCGTGAAGCCAACAGACAGAAGCGGAAACTCAACTTCTTGATCTCCCAGACCGAACTCTACTCCCATTTTATTGGCAAAAAGGCCAGGACCGCCGAGATTGAGAGATCGACTGATGATGCTGATGCGGCCGCAGCTGCTCCCACCGAGGCAGGCGGACCTGGTATCGACGATTCTTCTCTGCCGACTGCAGCTGGCGGCAAGGTCACCAACTTTGAAGATCTCGACTTTGACAATGAGGACGAGACGGATCTCAAGGCAGCCGCCATGGCCAACGCCCAACACGCTATCCAAGAAGCGCAGGACCGCGCTCGCGCATTCAACAACGGCAACGGTGAAGAGGAGGATGACGGTGAGATGAACTTCCAGAATCCTTCTGGTCTGCAGAATCAGGAAGACTGGATCCCACAGCCAAAGTTGCTGAACTGCACCCTCAAAGAGTATCAACTCAAGGGTCTCAATTGGCTGGTCAACTTGTACGAGCAGGGTATCAATGGTATTCTTGCCGACGAGATGGGTCTCGGAAAGACGGTCCAGTCGATATCGGTCATGGCTTACCTGGCCGAAAGATACAACATCTGGGGTCCTTTTCTCGTCATCGCTCCGGCTTCGACGCTGCACAACTGGCAGCAGGAGATTACTCGATTCGTCCCCGATCTCAACGTTATCCCTTACTGGGGTACAGCGAAAGATCGAAAGATTCTGCGTAAGCTGTGGGACCGGAAACACGTTACCTACACGCGCGATTCGCCATTCCATGTCGTGGTGTCCTCGTATCAGCTTGTGGTTCAGGATGCACAATACTTCCAGAAGATGCGCTGGCAGTACATGATTCTTGACGAGGCCCAGGCTATCAAGTCGTCACAGAGTTCCAGGTGGAAGAGTCTGTTGGGCTTTCACTCCCGCAATCGGCTGTTGTTGACGGGTACCCCTATCCAGAACAACATGCAGGAACTCTGGGCTCTTCTTCATTTCATCATGCCAAGTTTGTTCGATTCCCACGACGAGTTCAGCGAGTGGTTCTCCAAGGACATTGAGAGCCACGCACAGAGTAACACCAAACTCAACGAGGACCAGCTGAGGCGTCTACACATGATTCTGAAGCCGTTCATGTTGCGCCGTGTCAAGAAGCATGTGCAAAAGGAACTAGGCGACAAGATAGAATTGGACGTGTACTGCGACCTCACTTATCGCCAACGCGCATACTACGCCAACCTTCGCAACAAGATTAGCATCATGGATCTAATCGAAAAGGCTGTCGGGGACGACCAAGATAGCGCCACCCTGATGAATCTCGTCATGCAGTTCAGAAAGGTGTGCAATCATCCTGATTTGTTCGAGCGCGCCGATACCTGGTCTCCCTTTTCTTTCGCCTACTTTGCCGAGACTGCATCCTTCCTTCGTGAGGGCCAGAACGTCCGAGTAGGCTACTCGACACGCAACCTGATCCAGTACTCCCTACCACGTCTCGTCTGTAGGAACGGTGGTCGACTGGACATTGCCGGTCCAGAGAACCCCAAGGCCGGATTCAAGGGCCACTATCTGGACAACATGATGAACATCTGGAGCCCGGACAACATCCACCTTTCCGCTCGACAAGCTGGCGCATTCTCATGGCTACGCTTCTCCGATCTGTCAGCTGGTGAAGCCTCGAAGATTGCCAAGCGTGATTTATTCCAGCGAGCGGCCGATGTGATTGACAAGCCAAACAAAGCTGGCCGCTTCAGGGTTCTGTATGATGGTGACAACGGCGAGTGGGAACCTCAACGATCCATCTTCAACATTGTCGATCGCCAAGACCGGGTACCTCTAAGCGACATCACCAGGGAAGGCTACATGCACAACCTCATGAACGTGGCGAAACCTGCGTTTGAGAGGACAGGCCTGAACGTCATTGAGCCATGTGCTAAGCCGCGGGCGTCTGCGCCTCCGATTGAGTTGTACTGCGCAAGCCAGGGTGTTATTGCCGAGCAGCAGACGACGCTGTTCAACATGTCCATCCGTAATACTTTGTTTGGGGTGCCAGAAAAGGCGGAGCTCAACTTGCTCGAGTCGAAGACGGACAGCACCGCTCTGACAGTGCGCGACAAGCTTCCACCGCCTACCAACGAGCGAACACGATACACACACATCGAGGCGCCATCCATGTCACGATTCGTCACAGACTCTGGCAAGTTGGCCCAGCTGGACGCACTGCTCAAGGAGCTCAAAGCCGGCGATCATCGTGTCCTGCTCTACTTCCAGATGACGCGAATGATCGACCTGATGGAAGAATACCTGACGTACAGAAACTACAAGTACTGCCGTCTCGACGGCTCCACCAAGCTCGAAGACCGTCGCGACACGGTCGCCGACTTCCAAAGCGACCGCTCCATCTTTGTCTTTTTGCTGTCCACGCGCGCCGGTGGTCTAGGTATCAACCTGACCTCGGCCGACACGGTCATCTTCTACGACTCCGACTGGAACCCCACCATCGACTCGCAAGCCATGGACCGCGCCCATCGTCTCGGCCAAACCCGCCAAGTCACCGTCTACCGACTCATCACGCGCGGCACCATCGAGGAGCGCATCCGCAAGCGCGCCCTCCAAAAGGAAGAAGTCCAACGCGTCGTCATCTCTGGTGGCGGCGGGGCCGGCGTGGACTTTAACACGCGCTCGCGCGAGAATCGGACAAAGGACATGGCCATGTGGCTCGTGGACGATGATCAGGCGGCGGAGATTGAGAAGAAGGAGGCGGAGCTTGCGGAGCAGGAGAAGAATGCACCGCAGGGCAAGAAGCGCAAGAATGCGCGTAAGCGGGTCGAGGCGAATCTGGATGACATGTATCATGAAGGTGAGTTTTTTTTTTGTTGTTTATCTACCCATTTGCCACCTTTACCCCACACCATCCCTACCACCCTTCTCATGAACCCACAAAAAGAACCTCTTGTCGCTAACACAAGTCCCAAATCAGGCGAAGGCCATTTCGACGAAAGCGCCAAGCCAAGCGGGGCCGCGACACCGATTCCCGCCCCGGACGCGGCGGCAGGCAGCGGCAAGAAGAAGAAGGGGATGAGTAAGAAGGCGAAGACGGCGAAGCAGCGGCTTGCGGTTGCGGATGGCGAGGTGTGAATGATGGGCTTGTTGTTGTTGTTTTCTCTTCTTGTTTGCTTTGGGAGTGGGATTTGCGGCTTGTTGTGGGGGAAGTGTATGGGATGGATGGGATGGATGGGACGGATTGAATGGGATGGGATTGTATGGATTACTGAATGGATTGTGGGGATTCTGTGGATTCTATGGATTCTATGGATTCTACGAATGGAGACTTGTAAGAGTAGGGGGTATGAAAGACTTTTGTTCTGTTTACAGGGGGTTTTTTTTGTTCATTATTCCGTTTCATTTCATTTTCATTTTCATTTCAATACTGGTTCCACGGGACTCTTATTTTTTTTCTCTCTCAGTTCTGTTACCTGAGGGGTTTTTTTTGGTTTGGGTGGGGTCGTGTTGGTTTTGCGTATTCGGGGTGTGGTGTGCAGAGTGCAAGAATCATGTAAACGGAAAGGGAAATAGGAAAAGGCAAGGCAAAAGGATGGGTGTGTGTAGATGTAGATGTGAGTAAGGATGCGGGGAGTAATTCTGTAGTAGTCCAAGGTCCAGTTGCGACTATGCTAAGACTGCCCATGTTTGTTTTACGGATGTAGGGGGATTGGCTAGGTTTGATAGAGGAAGTTGTACATGTGTAATGAGTTGTTTTATGTAGGTTCAACCATGTGTTTCTGCTTGTTGGAGCTGGGTGGGTATAGGATGTTCTTGGAATATCTGGGTGTAGTGGGCGGAATTGTCGGCTGGGAGATGCAGTCGTGGATGAGACGGGAGGGGGAGGATAAGACGGAAGGTGTTCCGGTGGTGTAAGGTAAGTAGGTAGGTGGGTGGGTTAGGTAGCGGTGGTAGGCCTACGATTGATGGACGACTAGATGACAGATGGCGGCTTCTCAGACAATTGTCTCGACGGCAGGTGTAGGGGCGAAAGTTGATCATCGAGAGTGTGCTGTTGCTGTTAGGCAGGGGAAAAGAAAGTGTTGGGGAGGTGGTTGGCCATGGATGGTGGTGATGATGATGGGGGATGGACGCCAAGGCCCCCGGAGTGGAATGGGCCGTTGTCCAAGGGTTCAGGGTTCCAGGGTCCAGGAGTCAGATGATCGGCTAGGCAGAGTGAGAGCAGAGAGAGACGACGAGAGACGGACTGGCACTGTGCCCGGTATAGTGTTGTAGCTACCTAGCATTGCACTTGACCAAGAGGGCGCGAAAAGAGTCGGAGGATTCGAGGAGGAAGCGTGTGGCAGAACTTGTTCATCAGTCCATCGAGCCTTCGACCTTGTTGGGCTCGTTTTGGGTCCTCTTCATCGACTTCTCAACATCCGACTTGGCGTCTTAGGGCTAACTGTGCACCCGTACTCGTCGTGCAAGGTGCTACCGTGACAATGGTAGACAATAGGTAGAGAGAGAGAGAGAGAGAGAGAGAGAGAGTCAGAGAGAGAGTCAGAGAGAGAGTCAGAGAGAGAGTCAGTTGGCTAGTCTCTACCCCTTGCGCTTGGTTATCTCAAAATCCAACGCTCCGCTTAGCTTCGCACTAAAGGCTAGCGTTAAACTAAGAACTCCTAAGCTAATAAGATCCTGCTTATATAATTATATATAAAGTGTTAGTAGAGTGTCTAAGGAAAAATAGAATATATTTTAGTAGTACTCTAATTTTATAAACCTTACTCTTTATATATTTTTATTAATATTATTAACTATAGTACTACTATTATTACTAAAAGTTTTTATTTTAAAGTAGGTAAGATTCTAAATCTAATAGTATAAATTTTATCTAATATATATAAAGTAGGTGTAGTAAACTATAGCACCTATATATATAATTTAAAGTCCTAAGTCTAAAAGTTTTATAGCTATTAATAATCTACCTACTACACTACTACTATATCCTTTATAAGCCTAGTAACTATTAGAGCTATTTCCTACACGCTTTAAGATACACCTCTAGAAGTTTAAGCCTAATAGCGTGTTATAGTAGTAGATATTTAGTTATTGTTGCAGGAGGGATATTAACTAGATCACGGAGCATCTTGATCCTAATCAATCCTAATTAATCCTAGTCAATACCCCTGTATAACCCACTATCTAATCAACTGCTAGCTTACTGCTAAGTGCCTAATAAAAAGCAGGAGCTCTAGTAAGGAAGGTTTACTAATTATTTACCTTCTAGTAAGGGTAGCTAAAGCTCTATATATATAAGTCTGATCGTAGTAGATATAATCTAATAATCTATCTCCTAAATTATTCCTAACCTTAGTAATCTAAATTTTCTATAGTTATAAGCCTGGTTCGCGCTTTACCTTATTAAAGATTGTCCTATCTATTTAAGCGTATTGTTTAACTTAGACACTAAGCTAGCAAAAGCTTTACTCTTTTATTATACTATTTCTTAAGTAAAAGCTTACTTATTACTCTTCTACTATAAGTAACTAAATCCTAAAGGGGGATATCCTACTTACTAGATTAACTAACTAGCCTACCTAGTATATTTAATTTAGATACTATGCCCTAACTAAAGGGATCTAGGTAGAGGTAGACCCTAAGGCTCTAGATACTAAAAACTACTTTAAGAATAAACCTATTAAGCCTAATATACTAACAGATATCGCGCTATCTAATATAATAAGCAAGCAGTACAAACTCTAAATAGTATAGTACTAAGCTTGCTTATTAGATTAGGTATTAAAGTTATTAGTAATCTAGAATCTCTTTATATAGGTTAATAATATAGTAGATTAAGGGATCCTTACCCTAGCTTATATAGAGCTTATTAATTAAGGAAGAGTAACCCTCTAAGCACTAATCTAAGTGCTCTGCAATAACCTAGCGCTAACTAACTTAAGCGCTGCAATACTAGCAAGATTATAGTATAAAGCTTATCTTGCTAAGGTAAAGATAAGTAGCTAAGACGCTAATTACTAGTAGAAAGAGTGGATAATCCTGTATACGCAAGCTAAGGTATATAACGTACCTAATATTAAAGGATAGCTTATAGTACAGGATTATCTTAAAGCTCTATCTACTAGGATCTTACTAGATTAGGGTTAAAACATGTTTTAAAGGATTATTAAAAAGTTAGTAATAGGAGAGCTAACTTATAACCTCCTATAGGTTACTAAAATCTATTTATTACTTCTCTAAGAAAATAATATAAGATTAAGCTCTAAAGGTCCTAGAGTGTTTGTAATAATAGGAGCTCTACCTTCTAATTAACTAAAGAAGGAGTCTTTATACCTATATAGTAGATCTTACCTATAGAAACCTCCTAAATATAAAAACGTTATTAAAGCTTAGACTAATATAGGTAATAAGCTTACTACTACTTAATAATTAGAGATTAAGAAAAAGATTAATAGGAATCTAAAATTCAAAGAGTTAAGAAAAGCTCTAATCAAGTCCTATCCTATTAATCAAGATTATAGTAGTAAGGCAAGCATAATCACCTATCTAGGCAGTATCTAGGCAGCACTAATTAACCCTATGTTAATAGCAGAGAAAACAAACAGGATCTATTTAACTATAGACTTTAAAGCTTACGCTCTATTAAAGAGCACTATCTTTAATAATAGGGGTGTAGTACACCTAGTTAATAATATAAGCTACCTAGAAGAAAGCTTATTTAGATTAGTTAAATATAAGATAGTTAAAGCAGGAACTTAAGCTTTTCTAATCTTAGGTAGGGGGACTAGAGTAATCCCTAATACTCTTAATAGACTAAGAGGTCTAAAAACAGAAGATTTAGTGCTTACTAATATAGTGTTAGTAGAAGGTTTTTATGTGAATATTATATTAGAAGCTTAATTGCTTAAAGCAGGAGTTTAGTTCCTTAGGCTAGATACTACCTTACAGTTTAGATTATTAGAAAAGAGCGTTGTATTAGCTAAGTTACTGCGCAAGTTTAACTTAACTTTCCTAGAATACAAGCCCTCTACTCCTTATCTAATAATCTAAAGTATAGTGCCTAAACAACCCTAGCGATCCTAGATAACTTACCTAAGACACGATAGTAAGGAGCTTTAGCACTAATAATTAGGCTATTTAGGACCTAAGGCGCTTAAAGCTCTAGTTAAGTTAGCTATAAACGTTAGGATTAAAGGAACTCCTAGGAGCAAATATAAGCACTGCGCTATTACACATGCCTAATAGGTTATATTAAGATAACTAAGGGAAAGATTACTACGTCTATACTACTAGGTATTATAGGATCTATTTAACATGCTAACAGGTATAGCTTATAAGTAATAGATCTTAGTATTAAAGTGTAACTACTTAGGAAAGCTTTATACCTATCTACTATAAGCTAAAAACCTTAATAAGATTATATAGGTATTTAAAAATTTTAAGAGCTTAATACTTAACTAATATAATCTTAGTATAGTTAAGATTATACAAGATAATAATATTACAACACTCTCTTAGCGTGGTAAATCTTGCTTTTAGATCTAGGCAGCTAATAATAGTATTAAGATTAATAGCTTACCTGTATATACCTATAAACCTAATAGAGGAGTAGAAAGAGTAGGGTAGGAGATTATAATAATATTAATTAAAATAAGGATTAGTGCTAACATACTAACAAAGCTCTAGCCTAAAATTATTAAAGTAGTAACTTAGCTTTATAATATAAGCCTGTCCTATACTTAAAATATAATATTACCTAATAAAGTGCTAGATCGTTAGTTTACAAAATACTTTAGGTAGTGGCAACTAGAGCAGATAAGGGAGGTAACTACTAATCTCTGCCCTAATTAGAGCGGAATATACGCCTATAGCTATTAAGCTTACCCCCTTAATAGAGATTAAGCAGCTAGGCGTTACAAGAGGGTTTTTAAGGTGAACCCTTAGGGCTATATTAGATATCTAGTAGGATATAGAGTATCTAATATATATAGGATATAGATCCCCTTGCTTAATTAGATTATTATAACGCAGAACGTTACCTTTAATAAGGATCTTTTCTATAAAGAGAAAGATTAAGAGTAGCTTTAATAGTTAGAGGCTTAAAAGATAGTTAATATTATTAGCAAAGATAAGATCTATAATATAGGAGAAGCATATAAAGAGCTTAATATCTTTAATTAGCTTTATATTGCGGCAGAGCAATATAAGGAGTCTAGTAAGCAAGGAGGACTAAACCTAGCGCAGGAGCTAGGGGGTAGGGTAGAGCTAGAGGAGGTAGATAATTAGGCTAGCTAGCCTAGTAATTCACAACCCCCTAAGCAGACACCTCTAGCATAGGTACTAAGCATAGCTAGCTTAGCACAAAGGATCTGTATAAAGTCCCCTAAGCTAATAGGGCTTTAAACTCCTAAACTAATACTAGAACTAAACTTTAGTATAGGAGACAAAGGATCTATACAGGTTATAGATTAGGGTCTTACTACCTAAGATAGTAGTAATCTAACTTACTTTAACGCTATAATAGGTAGCTCCTAGGAAAGACCTAGAGGGGAGAGTGCTATTAGTAGGTTACTCTATAAGAGCACAGAGATAGGTAAGGGCACCCTATCTAGCCCTTATAGGGGTAGTAAGTAGAGCTCCCACCTACCTGCTTTAGGACTAGATTCTGTATCTCCTGTAGATCCC